AGAGAGAAAGATAACAACAACCACATTGAAGAGTAAGTTCAGAACTAGAACGATGAATCCATGTATATTTTTTCCAGTAACAAAAATGTCGCTATGCTTCGTTACCTTGAAAATAGGCCAAAACCGTATTTTTTGCATTTTAGGTTAGGATGTTTAGAAACCTTGAGCAATTCTGAGTTCAACAAATCATTTCCGAAAGTTTTTGTAGAGTAACTGCCGTCCCTAAATTGGAGCGCTAAGCGTTGCGTTTTCCAATGCCAAATGAGCGCTAGCGCGCGCTATATCCAAATGAATGCGGCGTAATTTTTGACGATTTTTCATTTACTATAGCGCCAATTCAGGAATGTCAGTATTTGACATCTCTGAGAAATTCTGATTTGTTCCAGGAAGTAATGTTGAAAAAAATCAAAACTTGTTGAAATGGTCGTAACTAGGATAATTTTCCCAAGCCATGAAAGTAGCGCAATTCAATTACAAGCTTAATTAAATGGACTTACACCCATTTCTAGCCTCTTAGTGCTGCAGGCTGGACAAGGATACGCAGCCAAATATGCGCGTTCACATGGACACATATGCATATTCATATGTAACTTAGTACGGTTTCCGAAGTACCTCTTCAGGAGACATGTAGGCATTCGCTTGTGGGGAAACACAAAAAAATGTTAAGTGCCACAATCCAGTTAAGCACCACTCTATTCGGCACTTTAAACTGAAATTCCCATAACTCAACTTTATTGCGCTTCCCACTCAGCGCCGGGAGATCTGGCGTCTAGAGCAAAATCGTTCGCGCGTACGCTTCTTGGCTGATTAATAAATGTAAATGGCCAATTTCGCGCTTGAAAACACAAAAAGCGAAACTTTCATTTTCGGTGCTATAGCTATACATACTTACATACTTTCGGAGCGTTTGGCACCTTTTTTATTGCGAACAAATAATTTACACCTGCAGTAAACGATTTGGTGGGCGGACGTGAGTGACCTTAGCGGTTGGATATTTATCGAGTGTACTTGAATTACTTACGTATAATGTCAATATCGTACTTAAATTAAAAAAAGCTTGTGAAGAAGAGAAATCATAAAATGAAAGTAAAAATTCATCGAAGAATTAAAAGAAAAAAACGCTTATCGGTTTTTTGATATGAAAAATAATCGACAACGCTGTTTTTTTGTTGAATTTAAAAACGAAATGTCAATACGACGGTCATTTTAATGTTCAATTTGGCTACGCCTTTTTAATTTCCATCAGCCAAAGCGTCAGGCAAGCGTCGTTGCCGGTGCTGCGCTGAAGATGCCACCATTGTGCATACGCACCAGTCGCCGCCTCAGGGGGAGTAATCGAAATTAGTCTGTACCCACATTGCCGCTTAAGTTAAGTGCGAA